CCCATCAGTCACTAATTAAGAAAATGTCCTACAGGAAGATCATATGGAAGTATTTTCTCAACTGAGGCTCCCTCCTTTCACATGACTCTAACATCTGACTAGTTGACACAAACTAGTCATCACAGTGTGAATGCATGCCGCTCCCCATATACAAACATTGAGACAAAGGAAAGTAGAAAAGAGGGAACAAAACAGAAGAAGAAGAAGAAGAAGAAGAAGAAGAGGAGGAGGAAGAAGAAGAAGAAGAAGAAGAAGAAGAGGAAGAAGAAGAAGAAGAAGAAGAAGAAGAAGAAGAAGAAGAAGAAGAGGAAGAAGAAGAGGAAGAAGAAGAAGAAGAAGAAGAAGAAGAAGAAGAAGAAGAAGAAGAAGAAGAGGAAGAAGAAGAAGAAAACAAAAAAAGGAGAAGGAGGAGGAGCCTATACGTGAAGAGATTCCAAGTCAGGACCAGAACTTATCTATCAACTTGAATAAAAATACAAAAGTTGGGTTCAGGCCATGACTTGGTAAACTGCTTGCCACGAAAGCATGAGGACCTGAGTTCAATTCCCAGGACCCACACCAAAAAGGAAAATTGGGTAAATCCCTATAATCCCAGTACTGGGGAGGTGGATACAGGAACAGATGCATGGGATTGCTGGCCAGCAAGTTTAGCTAAACCAGTAAATTCCAGGTTGCAATGAGAGACCCTGTTGCTGTGGGATGTTCTCTATGCTGTGAATGTGTTGTTCTGATTGGTTAATAAATAAAATGCTGATTGGCCAGGCAGGAAGTATAGGTGGGACAAGCAGAGAAGAGAATTCTGGGAACAGGAAGGCTGAGTCAGGGACATGCTGCCATCCACCGCCATGAGTACCAACATGTAAGATACTGGTAAGCCACGAGCCATGTGGCAAGGTATAGATTTATAGAAATGGGTTAATTAAGATATAAGAACAGTTAGCAAGAAGCCTGCCACGGCCATACAGTTTATAAGTAATATAAGTCTCTGTGTGTTTACTTGGTTGGGTCTGAGAGGCTGCAGGACTGGAGGGTGAGAGAGATTTGTCCTGACCATGGGCCAGGCAGGACTGGAGAAAAATTCTAGCTACACCCTGTCTCAAAAAATAAGGTAGAGAGCAACTTAAAAAGATACCCAGCTTTGACCTCTGGTCTCTACATACAGCACACATCCTCACATCCATGCATACGTACCTTCAAACACATGAACACATACATGAAAAACACAAAGCTTAATTATGTTATTACAACCTAACAAATAAAGGGTATGCAACACCTAACATTGCCATAAGAAAGCTGTTATAGCCCTATCATCATAAGCAAAGCTGACTTCACAAAAGGATCATGAAGACCATCCATAATGATGAACTATGAACTGCAAAGCACAACGTAGAATTAACGAGATTAATTGCTGAGTACCTAGATAAGAATCCCTGTTCTCAAGACTGGATACTGTATTGGCCAGTTTTTGCTCTTATGTTGTTTTGGTTTTAAGATGGGGTCACATGTAGCATAGCCTGGGTTCAAACTCACTATGTGGCTGAGGCTGGCCTTGAACTCTTGATCTGCCTGACTCTGCCACTAAATACTGGGTTATAGGCATGTCACCATACCCCATCATTCTGTTGCTGTAATAAAATACCTGAATCTAGGTACTTTAAAAGCAAACGGGGATTTGTTTAGCTCACTGTTGAAGACTGCAAATCCAAGATCAGCTATTCATTTGATTGTGAGAGATGCCACCCCCCCCAACTGAGTCACACATGATGGCATCATAGCATGTAGTATGTTGAAGAGGAAGAAATATGGTGAGACAGGAAGCCAGACAGCAGCAGGTAGAGAGGTCAGCCTTAACATCTTGCTCTTAAAAGAACTTATTTCTCAAGACTAGCACTCATCCCCCCAGGGGTGAAGCCACCAATAACCTGAGAACTTGCTGATAAGCCCCATCGCCCAGCTCTTGGGAGGCAGAGGCAGGCAGAGCTCTGTGAGTTCAAGGCCAGCCTGGTCTACAGCTTTAGGACAGCCAGAGTCAGAGAGTGAGAGCCAGATGGCAAGATGGCTTGAGTGGGTAAGAGCTATCTGCTGCCAAGCTGGATGGCCTGAGTTGATTCCCAGGATCCACATGGTGAAGGAGAGAACTGATTTCCTCCAGCAAGTTGTTCTTCTCACTGTACTTGGGTGCAATGGCACATGTGTGCATCTACACACACACACACACACACACACACACACACACACACACACACACAACCACTTCTCAATATTGCCCCAGTGGGGACTCAATTTTACATGAATTATTAGGAGACCCAGTAAAACTATAGCAGACACAAACCACAGGACACTGGTCACCCTAGGAAACATGGATAACGGCAGTTTTTTGTGGGGAGAAGGGAGAGGTAGATGCAGTAATGAAAAAGTTGTCAAACTGGCAATTAAATGCACTATGTGATTAGGGCAGGGGGTACAGCTCTGTATTGGAGCACTTACCTAATATGCATGAGGCCCTGAGTTCCAGCACCAGCCAGCACCATGGAAGAAAAACCAAGGCAGGTGGCAGGGGTGTGGTGTGTGTGTGTGGTGTGTGTGTGCTAGAAGCCGGGAGATGTAAATTTGAGTACGGTGTATCATCAGTTTATAGGAACTGCCAATGGGAAAGATGTGCTCACTATGAAGCATGAGAGGGCAACTCTGGTCTGAGACCTGCAATGGGAAGCAAAGCCAAGCACAAGCTTTGCACACACACGCTGGTGCTGACTGTACTGAAGCTTTGCACACACATGCTGGTGCTGACTGTACTGAAGCAGGGACCCTTGAAGCTATTGTGCGCCAATCACACCACAGCTCATTACCCTCTCCTGCTTCTCCCACTTGAACACCCAGATAATCACCGTGCACTCTCAGCTCACCAGACATCCTGCTTGCTGCTCTGAGCTCTGCTTTCATCCCAGTTGTTCATTCTGGCAGCAAAAATCTACAGAGCAGCTGTCCTGGGCCAGTTGCCACACTTGGCTGCGATGACGCGAGCAGTGACCAAAACCAACATCCTTTCCTCAGAATATTTGCATTTTAGCCGAGGACGTAGACACACATCTATGATTAGACATAGTAGGAGAGATAAGTGCTATGGGGGAGGGGGCAGGCTAAGTAGGGGTGCAAAGTGAGGTCCATGACAGTATTGTAAACAAATCATCTCTTAGGGCTTTGAGCGGAGTGTAATGAATTGTGAAAGCTCTGTGCACGGAGTTGTGTAATGAGAAGCTAAATCATCTAAATCATCTATGTCCTTATAGGAAGTGTGGTTGACTGTTAGTTAACATGTAATCTGTGGAGAGTATTGAGGAGAGGAGGGATGTTATCTGACTTGATTTGCATAAGAGTCCACCATCTCTTGCTATTTGAACATGATGCCCCGGCTGCTGTGCTAAGAAAAACCTAGGAAGAGTAAGAGAAGTAGAGAAGTCTTAGGAGGTTACTGCCAATAATTCTGGCCAGAGTAATTGAGGCTTCTTGTAGAGCTGTACGAATGGAGATGATCCAGCCTCAGCAGACAAGATTTACAGTTAGAACAGATGTGGGGGTGAAGGAGAAGTCAATCCAGGGTTAGGGTTTTGGTAGCTAAGTAAATGGTCCCGGTTCCTAGTTACCTCAGAGAACAAGCTAGAGGGACGAATTTTGAGTAAAACCGAGCACGGCTTCAGCTTTGGACACAGAGTCTTAAGATGCTAATTTGGCACCCAAACGGAGAGCCGATCGTTGTTAAGAAACTGGAGTTGACATAAATAATCAAAGCTGCAGAGACACGCTTGGGACTTGTTAGTGTCCAGTGGCATCTTGAAAGCTACGAGCCCGGATCAAGCCGTCTGGAAAGCGTTGGACCCAGCAGGAAGGGAGAACGAGTTTTGGGGACAGTCCCAGCGCATCCTGGAGCAGCAGCCTTGGGGGTGTGAAACTCGGTAGGCGATGAGGGCTGTTCTGGCATGACAGTGAGAGCTCCGTGACCCGCGGATGACCGGCAGCTGGCCATGGGCTAGGCGGCCACCGCTTACAAAGACACTGGGCTCGTGACAAAGTACAGCCCGCCTAGAAATGGCGGAGGCCGCAGCCAGCGTCACCAGGCGGGATGAGAGCTCGCCACACGGCGTCTAGGTGCCGTGAAAAAAAAAAACTTTCGCTCCTCCGAAACTGCCTCCGAAGCGAAAGCCAGAGAGCAGCCAGCTCAACGGGACTTCGAGCCGCCGCGGAAAAAGCCCCCCGGGAGCCGTCTGGGGCTCGCCGAGTCTCGCGAGAGGGGACGCGGCCTCGCCCTCCCAGCATGCTCCGCGCCGCCGCCGCTGCCGCCGCCGCCGCCGCCGCGCCGCGGTTTGAGGGCGGGAGGCTGGGGGAGGGTAGCGGAGCCGGCGCGGCCGCCATGTTGGTTCTGAGGCGGCTGCTGTGAGGTGCCGATTGAGCGAGCGGGCGGGCGGGCGTGTGGAGCGGCGAGCGCAGCGCGGGATCTGCCTGAGTGAGTGCGAGCGACGGCGGCGACGCCATGAGCGGGGGCACTCCTTACATCGGCAGCAAGATCAGCCTCATCTCCAAGGCGGAGATCCGCTACGAGGGCATCCTCTACACCATCGACACCGAGAACTCCACCGTAGCCCTCGCCAAAGGTACGGCGGGGCGGGCCTCGGGGTTGGGGGGCGCGGGCCGGGCGCCCCGCGGCCTGCGCGCTCTTCTCCCTCTGCGAGCCTCAGGGGAGGCCGCTCCTGGCCCCCAGAGCAACGAGGGCCCGGGCGCGGCCCCTCCCGGTCCCCCGGCTGCTTCCTTCCCCGGAGCTCCGCGCCGTCCATCCGGGGAACCCCGGGAACGAGTGCGCGGCGCCCGGAGCGGGGCGGTCCTGAGGTCCCGGGAACCCGCCGGAGAACACACCCAGGTTCGTGGCTTCCAAGACCGAAATTCGGTCTTTCAGTCTTTTGAACCGCCGAACAAAGCCGGAGGAGTCCAAGAATTTTTCCGCCTACCTTGAGTTGAAAGCGATGTGTTGATTCCCCGGCACCCTTTTCCCCCCCTTTCTCAGCGTTCTTCATCTCGGTTGGTTGCGATGGTGCTCGAGTGAAGTACCAAGTAATGTGCTCAAAACTTTGGGTTTGCGCCGCAGACGTGTGATCGCGGAAGGCCATTGGTACGGTCGAGCCGATCGCATCCGGTTTGTCTCCTCCGTGATTGTTACCTGTTAAATTCTTGTGCAACTATCTCTTTAGGGTACACGTTAAAATGCTTGCTTGCTTGCTGGCCCCACGGGCCTCTTTTCTGGAACCTTGGTAGAAAGGAAAGTTCAAGTTTGATGATCCGGGACTCTTGTGCCCAATTCAGATCGAGTATTATGGGGCGCTCACCGGCTCTGCTGTACGTGTTCCACGGGGAGAGGGAGTTGTGTTAATGAAAGGGGACCACCCCTACCCGATAGCCTTTAGCGTCCGGACGATCTGGGTTGTGTTTCGATTCACACGTGCTGGGCCTTTGCCAAGAAAGCGGAAAGAAAATAAACTTGAACGTCTGATCTAGGAGGAAGTCCTACGACGATTTGTAATACTCGGGGGAAGTATTTTCCCACCATGAGAACTGTGTCCACTAGGGTAGAAGGTCTGGGGATAGGAAGGTTCTGAATCTCAGATCGTGTCAAATCATTAGCTGAATGGGAGAGTCGTTCCACAGCACAAACAAGTTTTAATGACCCGTTTTTGAGATGTTTTGGTAGACCCTTTAAACAGTATTTGTTTTGAGACAAATCGACCTAGGTAAGAAAATTTTTTATGTTGTTGAACCATACCTGATAGAAATTAGGGGTTCGGTCCGATTGGCAAGAGCTCTGCCAAGTGGGAGATCTGGATTCCCTCCTCAATACCACGAAAACAACGCTAAAAAGGTACACTATAGAGGAGTAGGGTGATATTTTCCACAATTGCATTGTAGTGATACTTGTGTAACTTATGGCAGTTTACTTTTAAAACATTCTTGAATCAGACACTTAAAAAGTCTGTTTTCAGAAAAGCAGTATGAAGTCTGGTGCTGTGACACTTGGCTGTAGTCCCAGCTATTCCAAAGGTTTTGTGAACTAAGGAACTTTGGGCCTGCTTAAGCAGTACAGGCAGGTCATCTTAAAAAGCAGATAAATACAGGTATCTCAGTTGATAGAGTGTTTGCTTATCATGCATAAAACCCTGGGTTCAGCCGGCCAGTGGTGGTGCACGCCTTTAATCCCAGCACTCGGGAGACAGAGGCAGGTGGATCTTTGTGTGTGAGGCCTGCCTGGGCTACAGAGTGAGTTCCAGGAAAGGCGCAAAGCTACACAGAGAAACCCTATCTGGAAAAACCAAAATAAATAAAGTTCAGTCCCCAGTGAGAAAAGCTGGGTGTAGTGGGTGGTGGGTGAAGCACGCCTATAATTCCACTAGGGAGGTGGAGGCAGGAGCTCAGACATTCAAGATTTGCCTGGTGTACAGGAAACCCTCTCAGAAAAGACAGCTGGAAAGCCAAGGAACACCCCAGAGCTTCCTCTTTGCCTTGTGGTGTGCTGTCACACATTGCCTGTTAAAGAGCCTGCTTTCATCTTTTTAGACACTCAGTACACTTGAGGATATATGATTCTCTTTAGTAATTAGGACCTGACCAATGGTGTGAAGCTGGGCATGGTGGCACAGGTTTTTGTCCCAGCATTAAGAGTTAGTGGCAGGTGGATTTGAGTTCCAGGCCTGCCTGGTCTATTTAGGGAGTTCTAGGCCAACAGAACTACATAGTGAGACCCTGCCTCAAAAACAAACGAGAAAGCTTGACCTAGATGCTTTGTTATCTGCTTCTTACTGATGGAGATTTTGCTTCATAGGATCGGTTTTAATGATTTTATTCAAGTGTGGGAAAAGCTCTCAAGTTCTTGGTGCTCTCACCAAGTGATCTAGACACTGGTTGAGAACAGTATTTCTCGTTAAGGTGGTTTTGTAGAGATTTGGGAGTTTGTTTATTTGAGTCTCATGTAGTTGGGCTGGCTTCAGACTGGATATATGTAGTCAAGGGTGACTTTGAAGTATTGATCTGCCAGCTTCCACTCTGAACACCTAGTCCTCTAGCCACCACCTAGGTGCTGGGATTGATTATAAGGGATAGTAACTTTTGTTTTGTTTCATTTTTTGAGACAGATTTTCTCTGTGTAGTTTTGGTGGCTGCCCTGGATCTCGATCTGTAGACCAGGCTGGTCTCGAATTCACAGAGATCCGCCTGGCTCTTGCCTCCCGAGTGCTGGGATTAAAGGCGCCACCACCGCCCGGTGGGATAGTAACTTTTATTATTTTTATTTATTTATATGTGTGTGGTCTGTGTGGTGATAAGCACTTGTGAGTACAGACTGACAGAAGCCACAGGTGTCAGATCCATTAGCCCCATCCTGAGCTGGAATTACAGGCAGTTGGGACCCACCTGTCAGGTGCTGGGAATCTAACTCAGGTCCTCTGGTGGAAGAGCAGTATACACTCTTTTTAATGGGTGAGCCAAAAAGCTTTTGAGATTTCTTTTTCCTATTTCCTCTGGGTTGGTCTGTTGGTCATTTGGTTTACCTGAGGAAATCCAGAAGTCTATGTAACTCAGACTGGCCTTGAAGTGTAAGTGATTCTTTGGCCTCTACTCACCAAGTATTGGTACTGCAGGTGTAAGCCCCCATGCCCAGCCCTTTTGGGTTTTTTGACATAGGGTTCTTACTGTGTGGCCTACTCTGGCCTTAAACATGAAATGCTACTGCTTCCATCTATAATTCCAGGATTATAGACTTGAGCCATCACAGTCTATTTTTTTTTTTTTTTTTTTTGGTTTTTCGAGACAGGGTTTCTCTGTGTAGCTTTGCGCCTTTCCTGGAACTCACTCTGTAGCCCAGGCTGGCCTTGAACTCACAGAGATCCGCCTGGCTCTGCCTCCCGAGTGCTGGGATTAAAGGCGTGCGCCACCACCGCCCGGCAACAAAAAATTTTATTAGGATAAAATATTAGGCATTTTACCAGTTTGTAATAAATTCTGATTATTTAATTTATAACATTGTTATTTAATCTATATATTGATATATGATTTTTCCTTAATGTCCAGTACTTAACACCTCCATTTTCAAAATGAGAAGTTGGGAGCTGGGGGGTAACTAAAGCCTGTGAGATGGCTGACACCCTGAATTTAGTTCTTAGGACTCGTCATGGAAGGAGAGAGCCAACACCAGCAGATTGTCCTCCAACCTCCACACGTACACACAACATAAATTTATTTTTTTATTTTATTTTATTTATTTATTTATTTATTTATTTTTTTGAGACAGGGTTTCCCTGTGTAGCTTTGCGCCTTTCCTGGAACTCATTCTGTAGACCAGGCTGGCCTTGAACTCACAGAGATCTGCCTGCCTCTGCCTCCTGATGATGGGATTAAAGGTGTGTGCCACCACACTCTACTTTGTTGTTGTTTCAAGACAGGGTTTCTCCATGTTGTTTTGGTGCCTGTCCTGTATCTCACTCTGTAGACCAGGCTGGCCTTGAATTCACAGAGATCCTCCTGCCTCTGCTTCTCAGTGCTGGGATTAAAGGTGTGTGCCAATGCTGCCCGGCTGAGGGAAATTTTTATATAAATGAAGAAATTCTTGTATGTTTAGTTAGCTATCCCTGGGGAATCATTCAGGACGCCATTGCAGAAGGAAGAGACAGAAAAAGAATGGCAAGTCAGTAGTTTTTAGATGAGTTGCCCTTAAACTTTCAAGGGATTTGGGTCATATACAAAGGTGGTAAACTGTTAGCAGTCTTTCATCATCTGGGGGTCTTGTCCACTGTCTTAGTTTACCCTTCTTGATTGTTCATGGCCCACATAGTCATAAACCACCGTCCAATGGAGTGAGCAGGAGCATTGGAAGTGCCAATGAGGCACCCACCTCGTTGGCCTGTTTTGAGATAGGGTCTTTCTGTGGGGCCTGGCTGACCGGACACTTGACACTGGCCTCAGATTCATGAGCTCTCCTGCCTCTGCCTCACTGGTGCTGAGATTAACGGTGTGCACCATCATGCCTGGCCACAACTTGATGGTGGAAAACAACTACGCACAAGGTTGCTGCCTGGAACAACGAAGAGGTCATGAAATTTAAAGCCCTGATTTCTTTTGTTTGCCCTGTGTCGTGAGGTTGCCTGAACTAAGGCTTAAAAACATCTTTGTTGTTGCTGGTATACAAGCCACTGAAATACAGACTTCTAAGAGTCTTAACTTGCGGTTTTTTTTTTTTTTTCTTGAAAGAGGGATAAGATGAGCCATGACGTTCTGTATTCTAATACTGAAAACAGTGTATGCCAGAAAAAAAAAAAATAATAGAGGAGGGAAAGGAAATAACAGTAGAGAAACTTTATTGCCTTAGGGTAACAGCAAGAGCTGTATTAACTCAGTACTTCAGTACGAACTGCAGCAAGTACAGGTAGTTGAACTTTCATTCTTCTCCAGGAACACTTTGCCCTTATTTTCTTTCATATATTGTGTAGATAAAGTGTGAGTTGGTCAGGCTTACTCGAGTTTTGTGTGTTTTTGGAAGAACATGCAACCCAACAGGTTGATTGGAGTCCAGAGAGAGTTCTTGAGCATGGCCAAGTGTTTTTGCATCTGTACCTTTTCCTGTGAGAATGTAATGCCTACCTTTTACTCTTCCTGATAATTACATGAAGTGTTACATAAAAGTAATCATCTTAGAGTCAGTGCTTAATGAAGTAGCAAAGCATTTTTAAGTGCTTAGTAGCTAAACCCCAACTTCTGTCATCCATTCAGCTTACAGTTTCTTGATGTGATAGTCTTTTGATGCCCCTCACTCATCATTTCACTGTCTTTATCCTGTTTAAATTCCATGAGCAGTCATTACAGAGTATTGTACCCTCCTCACTCCACACCCTACATCTCTCTTGTACTCTTGTACATAGGAGCTTGCAGAACTCACAGCCCTCATTATATAACCAACTTCACTCTGAATTTACTTGAATTCACTGACCTCAGCAGTCTTAGCCACTTCCTAGGAGTCATGCTGTATTTCCATCCTCTACTCTTTCCTGTGGGGCTCCTGTGTTCCTTCTCTTTTCTTTAGGCCTTCAACATTATCTATCCCATTTTTACCTTCAGTCTGTTTACTTGCTTCCTTTTTTGACTCAGCAAAGAGCAGCAGGCAAAGTGCTATAAATCTCAAAGGACTAGAAGCAAGGATTTTGGAAGTTTGGCAATAAAGAAATAAAGGTAAGGGAACAAGTATGTTAAACCTGACTTAAACATTACACAGTGCAGATCCATGTAACAAAATATCACATGGCATCCCATTGATAGGTACAATTTCTGTGTTCTTATGTATCAGCTTAAAAATAATAGAGCCAGTAAGGTGGGTCTATAAAAGGCTGAAAAGCCTGATGTGATGACCTGAGTCATTTACCTATAACCTGGAACCCACAGGGCGAAGGAGAGAACCAGCTCCTGCAGATTGTCCTCTGACTTCATGCAGTGTGTGGCACATGCGTATGCATACATAACATGCCTGCTGGTCAGTAAGAGACAAACCACCTCCACCCTTCTACTCGGACACTTTGATCAGTTCTGCTCTCCTCGATGTTTTCTTCTCCAATTGCACTTCTATTTTTCTTGGTTGTATCATTTGGGAGATTAAAATAAAGTACCGCACAAGAAGGAATGCCCAACTGAAAGCAGCTTACAAAGTCAGTATTAGGCCAGGTGTGGTGGCACACACCTTTAATCCCAGCACTGGAGGTAGAGGCAGGTGGATCTCTGTGAGTTCAAGGCCAGCCTCGTCTACAGAGCGAGTTCTAGGACTACATGGACCCTGTCTCAAAAAAAAAAAAAAAGTCTAGGTTAAATGTTGACTGCTGGGGAAGGATAGCAAATTAGACTTTTTTTTTTTTAACTTTTTCTTCCTGTTGATAATTCCTATCAAAAATGCACAAGGTGAACAAAAGACCAAGTACATTTGGAAAAGAGATAATATTAACAAAATTTTGGAGGCCGAACAGCAAGCAATTTGTTTAAAGGACAAATTCTTAGTAGAATTGTACCTGTAAACTAAGTCAATGGTGAATAAAGCCAAGAAGTAACCTGATCTGTACCCTGAGCCCCTGAAAGGCTCAGAATTGGCATAGGTGGGTACAAGGAAACTAGAATACTATG